CTCGCAGAAGAATTCCTCGCCTTGCTCCTATTGTGTCTCTGCCTCCTTAGGTCGAATCTGCGTCAAAAATTGGTCTCCTCCGTCAAAAATACCGTTTTTCCATGTATATATACCAAGTAGGGTCGGGCCCAAATAATTATACCTTCTCCTACGCAAAAAGGACAATTTTTCACGTCTGGACGGCCGCGGTCAACCGCGGTACGGACGCGGTTTTTGGCAAGCGTACTGCCTCAGGTCCGCCTCAGATCCGCGATCGCGATTTTGACCGCGTTTTTCACCCTGTTCCGCTTAGAAATTGGAAAACTGTAAAACATGAAAGTTGTAGCCCATTGGGTTATCTTTCCAACCATATATTGTGGAGCGCAAATGGAGTTCTGAGCAAAAAGTTATATGCATTTTACTAAACAGTGCGCAATATGCCTCCTCGATTCTTCGTTTTGTTGCTCTATCATCCGTTGATCCCCGAATACGATCCCGGCTTAATTCATTGGGCTTTTACTCAGATTTCAAAGCTCCGAATCACTTGAATTCATTCCATAACATCTATATAGCTCGGAATCACTCCTACAAGGCATAAAACACACAATTAGTGCAAGACACTAGCAATTAAAGCTCAAACTCAATTAAAGTGCAGTAAATTTGAGTGTAATAAGCGACTAAAATACGTAATTATAGCCTATCATCAACACCCCACACTTAAACCATTGCTCGTCCTCGAGCAATCAAACTACACTTTATATAGACACGACCTTTTTAAATAATTCTCCTAACTCATTACACCAAAAATATTTAAAATAGACTAAGCACAAAAGCGTAACATCTTCACCTCAAGATTTGACTCACAAGTACCACGCATTATTCACAACTCACCCACTTACTCTAACATAGAGGTCACTGACATTACCTTTCCTTCATGAATCAAGTGCCCTCACACAACAAAAGAGAGTAGTTCCACACAATAAAATTTAAGAACACTTAGGAACTCAAGATAGAAAGAATTCACTCATTCTCAAAAATAACATTCATATGCCACAAAAGATGCACCATAGGCTTGCCCGTTGTGTACTACTTTACTAATCGAGCTCGTTCAATCTAAGATCAATTAGGACTTTATTTGGTTGTAATGTAGGCTGTGGGACGGGTATGATACATTTAGATATAAGAGTGACTACACCTCCCTAAGCACTTTAATACATATACTTTAATATTCAAACCCCATACTTATGTCAAACCAAACTCCACCTTCACATCAATGTATATTACCCATTCTTCTTTAAGCACACTTACATCAAAAGCCACCACTTATCAAGGAATATTTTTTTTCCAAAACAATCAAACTATTTTTTTCTTTTTTTTCCCCAATTCAAGTGGCTCTTACTTTTTTTTAAAACAATGCACCTTTCTCCTTATTTCATTAGTTCCACTCAAAAGCCGAACCAACCACCCCACACTTTAACTTTTACACAGCTCATAATAATTCAAGTGCTTATGAGAGGTTAAAAGGTTCAAATAGAAGGTTAATTCAAACAAATGGGTAAGGCTTTTGTAATGTGGTTGCCAAAGAAACAGGATTACAGGCTCAAAGGGGTTAACTATGATACATAACAATTAGGTGGGTAAAACATACATATCTAGTTCAACAAAGAAACGCCTATATCACTTCCAAGACTGAACAAAACTACTATTTCGCTTTGCAAACACACAGGGCAAGTTCTAGGCATCAAATGCACGCACAGAATAATAAATCCTTACACACATATGGCACATAACTCATTCAGGATTGGATTCATCAAGACACTCTAGTCAAAGCAGTTAAGCAAATTTAAAATCATACAATTTAAGGTACTTATACAAGAGTCAAAATTTGAGCCTAAGCGTCACAACCAAAGGACTCATTATTCTCAAGGCATAACCAAGTCAAGAGATATTGCTTCAATTCAAAACACAACACAATGGCTCCTACTCCCCAAAAAAAAATTAACTACACCCGATTCAAACAAAACCCTTGGAAAAGAACTGTGGCACAAAGAAAAACCAAGGGGTAATTGCTACACTACCTAACAAAAGAAAATATTTTTCTGTCTTTTTTTTTCTTTAGACATAAATCCCTCGAGAAAATTGTCTAATAGATCCATCGTCGGGAAAATTTCAATCTTTACTATTAAAAAAATATTCAATTAAACTAACATAACTAAAATAGTATAGAAAGTCACCCAGACAATCTCCTCACCCCACACTTAAAATTGTGCATTGTCCCTAATGCACACCCATACATACAAGAGGGTAAAAGAAACTCCCTGGTAGGCCAACGGCCGAAGCACTAGCATCTCATGGGATACTCAGACTTCTCCCAGGCCTGGTCCTTCGTGCGGGCACCTCACACTTAGTTCCAACCATACCATCTGGTTTGTTGTTGCATCTTTCCAATGGCTTTACGTTCCATGCTCCTAAAAATCAAAAATCGACACTACAAGAATAATACAAAAAAAAAAAAATAAAATAAACTAAATTAAAAAAAATAAAGCTGGGTTGCCTCCCAACAAGCGCTTGATTTAACGTCGCGGCACGACGTGAATTACTTTTTGCCTCCACCTGGAGCTTATGAATTGAACCCCAAGTTTTGATTCAAGCTTATGATTATGGTCATAGGGCGGTGGAACAAATCTAACTGGCCCAAGAAAATAATGTAGTATTCTGCACTCCTTGGCCTTTGTATGAGGTATGTAATCCTGACTTTCTGGCAAGATGAATGCCAGAATATATGCACCTTCTTCCTCATTCCTTGACTCTTCAATTGGCTCGGATGACTCTATTTCCATATCATCATCCAAACATAATGTGAAAAAATGCTTGGAGTGTGGACCAATGTGTTCAAACACATGAACTTAAGGACTTTCAACATCCTCAACATCATTCACACTAGAGTCAACTAAATTTGTATCTTCAATGTCCCTGGTTTACTCTAGTATTACTTCTTCAACATCGGCATCCTCAAATTCTAGCTGGATAGATTGTTGGTGTTCTACTCTGACCTCCTCCTCTAGCTCATCCTCGTATTTTTTAAATCCTCTAGTATAATGGCAATTTCTGCAGCCAATTCATACTCATATTGGCTACTATCCACAATGTCAACTTCTTGCGCTTTACAAGGTCCAATTAATTTATTCGCTTGAGCCTCCAAGTTGTGAATAGTTGCCCCTTGCCTTTGTGCCCGCAGTTGTATCTCATCATATTGTTCCATAAGGCACTTTAGCATATCCTCGATCTCTTTCAGGTCCTCATACCTGTGTTCTTTGTTCCTATTAACTTCACAAGAAAAAGAAGACCCATCAAAGTAAGGGGTTGGAGGAAAATAAGAAATATATGCACAACCATGAAAGTGACCATCTTGAGCACCACACATATCGCACACATTCAACACATAAGATTGAGTTGATGCACATAACTCGCTCTCGGGAATATTTTGATAATTTTGTCCAGGGTGGTTTCCTCCACTAAATGCATAAGAAGGATCAAAAGTAGAATTACCAACATCAAAACTCTCATAATTCCAAGATGCCATGTTTCTCAAATTAATAAGTAAAAAAAAAAAATCAAATACAAAAAATAAAAATAAAAGTTCAAACTTGAAACCTAGCAATATGTACACCTATAACTACACTGTTAGTTCCCCGGCAACGGCGCCAAAATTTGATCACGCCCAGCTCTAGTCCTAAAAAGGATAAGCGGTCGATGTAAATATAATCCAGTCTAAAAGTCCGGAGTCGAATCCCACAGAGAACTAAGGCTTAGCTACAGTTGTTCACTATCACCAAGAATACAAGCTTGAACAATTCCTAACTTATAGATATTAATATTCTCGTGTTTAACTAACTAACTAACAAATTAAAATAATGAATTAACACTAAAGATATACAGGTTGGAGAAAAGATTAAGGAGGTCTAGAGTTATGATTTCCCCAATTGTCGGAATCCTTCCTGTTATGTCTTCTATAATTTCGCCTAAGTATTCTCTACCGATCATGAGCGCTCTGCGTGTTGCAATTCTCTCCCGAGTAATTACGACAATTTACTAGACATACTCTCCCGAGTTAAGCTAGCTGGCTCTAATTACAGCTCACTTAGATCGCACCCAAAGTTCCGTTATCCCTAATCCAACCTTTAAACTCTTGGTTATTGATTCCTCACATACATCGGGAGTGATGTTATTCAACAACTACGTAAATATGCACTCTCTCCCGAGTAATACATACTAAATACGCATAGCTAATTGACGGCCCTTCAATCAACCACAAGAATAATATAGTTGAACAAATAGAGAAAATACTACGGCTCAATTATATAAAAACATAACAAGAATTTATCCTACAAAAGGTTCCATCAAAACCCTAGATAACAAATTAGTTATTCATAATAGTATGTAAAACTACAATACTAAAAGTCATAACCAACAATGAAAAATAGGAAGAGGAAGTAAAAACTCGTAGAAGAATTCCCCGCCTTGCTCCTATTGTGTCTCTGCCTCCTTAGGTAGAATCTGTGTCAAAAATTGGTCTCCTCCCTCAAAAATACCGTTTTTCCATGTATATATACCAAGTAGGGTCGGGACCAAATAATTGTTCCTTCTCCTACGCGAAAAAGGACAATTTTTCACGTCTGGACGGCCGCGGTCGCGGTCAACCGCGGTACGGACGCGGTATTTGGCAAGCGTACTGCCTTAGGTCCGCGGTCGCGGTTTCGACCGCATTTTTCACCCTATTCCGTCTAGAAATTGGTAAAACGTAAAACACGAAAGTTGTAGACCTTTGAGTTAGCTTTCCTATCATATATTGTGGAGCGCAAATGGAGTTTTGAACAAAAAGTTTTGGGCATTTTACTAAACAGTGCGCAATATGCCTTCTCGATTCTTTGTTTTGTTGCTCTATCATCTGTTGATCCCCGAATACGATCGCGGCTTAATTCCTTGGGCTTTTACTCAGACTTTAAAGCTCCAAATCACTTGAATTCATTCCCTGACATCTATATAGCTCGGAATCACTCCTACAAGGCATAAAACACACAATTAGTGCAAGACACTAGCGATTAAAGCTCAAACTCAATTAAAGTGCAGTAAATTTGAGTGTAATAAGCGACTAAAATACGTAATAATAGCCTATCATCAGTTACTAACCTGAAATTAGCATTTTGAGTCATCCCAAGAATTTTTCTTAAAGGAAATTAAAGAAAACACCAAAAAAAATTCTTTAAAAGAAAGAAATTTGCGTATGTATCCTTAACCTGCCAAGAGTCATAAGCTGCTTTTATCATAAACAGTGGAGTCTTGACATGTGGAACAACGTTTTGAGGAAAAAAGCACTGCACCATCATTAAGGAAAACCAATGTTACTAGAGGGCAAAAATATAGCATAAGAAAAAAATATTATTTCCAAATCAAAATTTAAACTCTTACCAAGCTTGGATCTATTCTAGAGGTGCAAGATGGAGGCAAATTTTTAGCCGATCCCTTAAATAAAAGGAAAAAAAATATTAAAGCAAACAAATTTTAACTGGCATCTACTTATTAATTAAGCATATGGTATATCTTACTAAAACGAAAAAGACAACGAGACTCACATGTAAATTAACAACTCTCTTATACTCATCCTGGATATCTGAAGTACCAGAGATCGTCTTCCTGCATAAATCATGAAGTTCTTGAGTTCCAATTGCATAGATATAAATCAATAAGACGAACATCATCTAATTTCTTAAGTGATCGCTTAATGTACAGTAAAAAGAGCTCACGCGTTGATGAAGAAGCCTGCATCCGGAACGCACTTTACTCTCACATCAACAGGAAAGAAGGACTTGAACTTGTCACAGTTCAATATTGTAGCCAATCCTCCAGCTGATGTTCCGCTTAGGATTGCCTGACGTATTACATTTTGATTTTTCAAGATTTAGCCAATTGGGAAAGAACTTGTAAAGGATGAAATAGTAGTATGTGCCTTGTCTTATGCTGTATATGGGTTAGAGACTGAATGCAGTTGAATCTTACATTTTCAGCCTTTTGCATTCCTTTTCTGGACAAATCATTCATAATGGCTCTGAAGATTCTTGCTCCTCTATAATAAAATTTGGTATCCTAACATAGATTGACATTTCAAATCATTAAAGTTTTACTTTTTTGTAAAGCAGAATAAATACCACTGAAATAATTTTCCAATACAAGAGATATATGTACTACTACTTACAGGATCAACATCTTCAATATCACCCGTGAAAGATGATCCATCATAATATCTAACCCTGACTCTATTCCAATTGTAAAAGTCTACCAATTCAAACGTCTACAATTAGTAACTGCTGAAAATACACATACAAACAAAAAGAACCATTGTAAATAAGTAACTGAAATATGATCCAGCTGTGAAGTCCGCTACCATATCCCTGACCAAGATGATATGCCGGGGCGCTCCCGTCTAGGCACACTGTTTATGACTCGAAAACAAATAATGTTAGTATACATGTGATTATCTTTTCTTCTGTTGCTTAACATATTATACCTGCGCCTTCAGCAGTGGCACTGTGAAGTATGGTGATGTTGACTATCAGTTCTTGTGGTGATTGTGCCATAATAGCTGTCAACATTGCTGAAAGCGCTAGTAAAGCTAAGAAAAAGGTTGCCATCCTGCAAAACATTCAAATAAGCAGTTGTTGGTTCGTGCTTATTATAATGCACATGAAAAATTCCTTCTATTAAAATCAAGCTTTAATAGAATATGAATACATTTGTTCTTCTTAGAAAGGCTGGTGAGAGAAAGCAAATGAAGCAAGTAGAGGTGAATGAGTTGGTCTCATAGTTCGGCTCTATTTATAATGCCAGTAACTATATATTTTCCTTGCTTCCAGGCTAGGGTGCTAAAATGTAGAGAAAATAAAATATCTCTGTTGGGAGATTAGCTCCATGCATGTGCCAATCTCCATCACTTCTTTACTTCTCGTCTCAAACAAATTACATGGTTTTCTCTTGCCATATTTGGCAGTAGAAATTAAATATTTTCCATAACCATCTTCTTTTCTTGGCAGACAAAACTAACTCCTTTTTCAAACAATTCACATGCGTTACTCTTGCTATTTGGCAGTAGAAATTAATACTTTCCAATTTCCATAACCTTCTTCTTCTCTTGGCAGTGAAAAATAACTCTCTTTTCTTCTCTTTTTGAACAATTGACATGGGTTCGTCTTGCTATTTTGCGATGCTTTTTATACCGCTACTAGTGTAGTTTAATATGCTAATATCAAGTTCTTTTACCATTCTTTCGAGATAAGCAGTAAATGGTTATTGCATTAAATTAAATGTAATTGTTCAGTTTAACTTCTATACAGTGATAGTTTAAAATGTTGAAATGTGAAAATAATAAACTTGTTTTACATTTGTTTACATTAGTTCATGAACTAGAATATTAATTTTGTACATGTATTAGAATATGAACGTATTAATGTACTTTAGAAGATACAATGTCTAGTAGTGTCATCCATGTACCTTGAAAGATGTGAGGTGTGGACTTAGTTATTATGTTTACATATAATGTAGCCTAAATACATAAAAGATTTCTTCTATAAATAGCCATATATTCCTAGCCTTTTGGAGTAAGTCAAGTTGAATAGAAATCATATTTTCCTCCATGTTCTTTTTTGTGAGTTTTGATTGTTCTTTTGTGTTATCTTGCTCTCCCAAATTTTCTAGCATTGAGGTATTAGAGCCGGTGTGTTTTAGAGACAATCAAACTTGGAGAGAAAGTGACAAATAGTAATGGGACTCCATTTCAAGTTCCTATGCTCAGAAAAGAGAACTATGGAAATTGGTATGTCGGATGAAGGCCTTGCTTGGTGCCTATGATGTTTTGGAACCGGTGGAAGTCAGAGGTGATAGAGGGGAAGATGATGCTACCTTTAAAAAGAAAGATCAAAATGTGTTCACTCTAATCCATAAAAGTTTGGATAACAAGATGTTTGAGAAGGTTGCAATTGCAACCACCTCAAAGCAAGCACGGGAGATTCTTCAAACTTCCTTTAAAGGTTTGGAAAAAGTGAAAACAGTTTGTCTCCAAACGTTAAGAGAAGTGTTTGAATCATTGCATATGAAGGAATCTGAATCCGTTTCGGATTATATTTCAAGAGTTTTGGCTATTGTCAATCAAATAAAGAGATATGGTGAAGACTTGAGTGATGATAGGGTCGTTCAAAAAATACTACGATCCCTTGATTCAATATTTTAATTATATTATTGTGGTTATTGAAGAGTCCAAAAAGATTTTGGATACCATGACCATTGAAGAACTTACAGGTTCTTTGCAAACACATGAAGAAAAGCTGAAGAAACTGAAAGAAGAATCGGTGGAACAAGCATTGCAAGTAAAACATTCTTTCAAGGAGAAAGATGAAAGGCGTGGCTCGCAACAATGAGATCGTGGGTGTGAACAAGGTCGTGGTGGAAAAGGAAGAGGTGGTAGCCAACCACCAAATTAAAAAAATTAGGAGCCGAGACTCAAGGAAGAGGTCGTGGAAGAGGTAGAAGATGGAGGCAAAATCAAGGAAGGTATGATAAATCTAATATTGAATGTTATACTTGTCATAAATTTGGCCATTTTTCTTGGGAATGTAAAAATAACATGGAAGAAAAAAAATAATTTTGTGGAGAGAAAAAATGAAGATGGAGATGGCATTTTTAGTTCTCGCTTGCAAAGGAGAAGAAAGTACTGAGAGAAATCAATGGTACCTTGACTCCGGTTCAAGTAGTCATATTTGTGAAAAAAAAAATTTATTTGTGGAGTTTGAAGAATTGAATGGTGTCAACATCACTTTTGGAGCCTCTTCGCAGGTTAAAATCAAAGGAAAATGTACGATTTTAATTCGCTTGAAAGATGGTAGTCACTAATTAATTTTTAATATTTTATATATACCGGAGATGAAAAGTAATATTTTATGTTTGGGATAGCTTTTGGAGAAAAATTATGATGTTCATTTGAAATAAAAAAGTTATTCATGAGAGATGAAAATGAGAGATTGTTAGCCAAAGTTCCTAAGGCTAATAATAAAATATTTGTTTTATACCTTCAAAGTGATGTTCCAAGGTGTTTGCTTTCATGTACCAAAGATTCATCTTGGCTTTGGCATATGAAATTTGGTCATGTGAATTTTGATAGTATAAGGTTGATGAAGAAAGAAAGCATGGTGAATGAATGACCTACTATTAATCATCCGAACCAACTTTGCAAAGGATGTCTCTTTGGAAAGCAAGCAAGAAAAAATTTTCCTAAAGAGTCTTTGACTAGAGCCCGATGCACATTGGAGTTGATTCACATGGATGTGCGTGGACCAATCAAGCCATCTTCACTTTGTAAAAGTAACTATTTTTACTTTTCGTTGATGATTTTTCTAGAAAAATATGGGTGTATTTTTTGATGGTGAAATCGGAGGTATTTGATACTTTCAAAAAATTCAAGATCATGGTGGAGAAACAAAGTGCCTATCAAATCAATTCATTGCGGTCCGATAATGGTGGAGAATTCACTTCAAATGAATTCAAGGTTTCTTGTGAAAAAAGTGGAATTTGTCACTTTGACTGTTCCAAGATCTCCACAACAAAATGACATCGTGGAAAGAATGAACCGGAATATTTTCAACATGGCACAGAGTATGTTGAAGACAAAAATATGTCAAAAGAGTTTTGGGTTGAAGTAGTTACTTGTGCAGTGTATTTGTCAAATCGGTGTCGTGCCAAAAGTATTCGTGACAAAATACCTCTACAGGCTTGGAGTGGTTTCAAGTAGGGGTGGGCATAATACCGATCGAAAAAACCAGCCGAACCGTGAATTTCGGTTTTTCGATTTCGGTTTAATCGATTTTTCGGTCGGTTCACGATTTTAAAATTATTAATTTTCGGTTTTTCGGTGCGGCTTACGGTTTTTGTGTTTCGTTTTTCGGTTAAACCTAAAAACCGAACTTTTGGGTATAATAGTCTACTGTTTTCATAAGTTTTTGTCACAATGATAATTTTGTTTTTCTGTTTTCTCCAGTACTAAGGATTTACAGAGTGGAAAGAAAGATTAAAGTTAGCTAGATAAGTTTGAGTTTTTCCATAGCATGGAAAGCAATTACTGTATCAACCATTGCTCTCTACTATATTAAATATAAATTGTCAATGCGTAAGCCTTTTTTTATTATTAGAATAAATTGCAATGTATTAGCCGTTTTTCTCCAGTATAATATAGGTAGACTAACACCAATTTTCTCTATCACTATAATATAGATATAGTGAAATACCGTCAAAAGTGTCATCCATCTTTCTTTATTACTACAACACAGAATGTCAGCCATCTTTTCTAACATATACAACCAGGCTTGATGTGCATTTGTTATGGCCTTATGGGGGAAGTCAATTCAAGATTAATAACACCACATTGATTTCGTACCATATCAAGGTCCTTTTCAATGTCTTCCTCAACAAACTCATTACTATGCTTGCTAATATATAAGTAAAACATATATATATCCATACTTCTCGTGCATCTGTGAGATCTGCTTATTTGATGTTGGCAGCACTTCTATTTCCAAGTAAAGCGTGCGCATTATGCAAGCTAATTATAAAAGTTATACGTCTCCTTGAAACCGCTTTCCTACGAGTCTAGAACCGTTTGAAACCGAAAATATAAACCGGAAATAACCGAACCGAATTTTGAAAAAACCGCACCGAACCGTAAATACTTTGGTTTGATTTGATTATTAAAATCACAAACCGAAAACCGAATAAACCGAACCGAACTTCTACAAAACCGAGCCGAACCGACCGATGCCCACCCCTAGTTTCAAGACAAAAGTTGCTCATTTGTGAGTTTTTGGGAGAATTGCCTATGCACATGTGCCGGATGAGAAGAGGTCTAAGCATAATGATAATAGTGAGAGGTATGTTTTCATTGGCTATGATGAGAGAAGGTCTAAGCTTAATGATAAAAGTGAGAAGTATGTTTTCATTTGCTATGATCAAAGTTCTAAAGGTTATAAATTATATAACCCAAGAAATGGTAAGGTCACAATAAGCAGAGATGTTGAGTTTGATGAAGATAATGCCCAGGAATGGAAAATAAAGAGCAAAATTACTCTTCTAGTCCTTTCTTTGATGAAGATGATGATGAAGAATTTGCGGAGCATCCTACCATACCACCTGCAACACCTCCAGCACAAGTTCAAGAAGAAGATGAGTAAGTTCAAGTTCTTCAAGTGAAGTGCCTCAGAAAACGAAAAGTTTTCGTGAGTTGTATGAAAATATAAAAGTGGTAAGAAAAGATTTTGTGACGACCCAATTCTAGCTTAGGTCGTGATGGCGCCCAACACCGTTGCTAAGCAAGCCAACAGTGAACAATCTAGTGATTTCTATTTTTAATAAGTTATTCAAACAACTAACTTTCCTTACGTTAAAGGAATTAATGGATAATGGATTTAAAGTAATCAAAATGAAAGCAGCTAAATACAGTCATAACCATAGAAATATAATTAAATATCATAAGTCTACTAGTGTGTGCCAAGACCCGGTATCACAATTATATGGACTACTAGTAGAATATACAAATGATTTCTACTTTACTGTCTGAAATGGAATACACAAAACAAATAAACAAAAGAAAGGCTCCGGCTGCAGCAGAACGGCTTGGAAGGGCAGCTCACCGTGTAGCCTCATAGCGGGGATCAAATATGTGCTCTGGACTGGTAACCAGATGT